TGGTGAAGCACTGGCCCAGGTTGCCCAGAGAGGTGGTGGATACCCCATCCCTGGACACATTCCAGGTCAGGTTGGACAGGGCTGTGAGCAATCTGGTCTGGTTGAAGATGTCCCTGCCCACGGCAGGGGGGTTGGACTAGATGACCTTCAGAGGTCCCTTCCAACCCAAACTATTCTATGATTCTATGAACTATCTACCTTCCCCTACCAAAAAAGACAATTTCCATGGCACATTCTTCAGCATCTTCAGAGTATTTTTAGTCCTTTTTCATTGATTTTGAGATGCAAGTTCAGCTAAATACTTATACATTGAAATACAGACAATTTACCCTGTTAGTCTGAGTATACCGAAAGCAAGCTTCTGCTGTTCTGCTGCCAGTTCCAATTCAGGGAGTAAATCTTTGGACTAATTTAGGAAACGTCTCTTATCACAAACCTAAATACTTTAGTCTGAACGTATCTTCCCACTACATCTTCTATGTTTTTTTTTCATTTGTTTGTTGATTATCCAATGATTATATAAATTGGAGAAGCATTCATTCTAAATTGTCAGTCAGCAGGAGGCAAGCAGTCTTTAACATGCAAACTCCTGTTCAGGCAGTGTTAAAATGTGGTGCTTACTCGAGTCTTTGATGCTTTGTTTCTTTGTTACATGCAAAAGGTATGTTTTAGGAATACATTCACACATATTCTGACTAATTCTCTGCCATTGAATAAAACAACTGTTTCCTCATTTGGAACCGCCTTGCAAGCAAAACCAACACGTAGGTGAACTTTAGGCAGCTGCTAAAGTATGGTACACTGAATAGTGCTGGGATTTATGGAATATTCCTCAAACATAACTCCCATAACTGAAATAAAGTCAGTAAAGAAACTTACATCATGCATAGGATTATAGGAGAATGCAGGTTGGAAGGGACCTCAGCATTTCATCTAGTCCAACCTCCTGCTCAAAGCAGGGTCAGCTATGAGGTCAGACCAGGTTGCTCAGGGCTTGATCCAGGCTGGTCTTGAAAATTTCCAAGGAAGGAGACTGCACAACATATCTGTGCAACCTACTCTACTGCTAGATTGTCCTGGGAAAAAGTTCCTCCTCACACCCAGTCTGCACTTCTCATTTCAACTTCTGCCTGTTGCTTCTCATCCTCCCACCATGCACCACTGTGAAGAGCCCGGCTCCATCTCCTTAATGACCTCCTTAAAGTCACTGGAAGGCTGCGATTAGGTCACCTGGGTCTTCTCCAGGCTGAACAAGCCTGGTTCCTTCAGCTTCTTCTCATGAGGCACATGCCCCAGCCCCGATCATCTTGGTGGCCCTCCACCGAACTCGCTCTTCTTGTATTGGAGGCCCAAACTGGACACAATATTATAGCAGTAAAAGATGCAGATATTCTAATCACGCTGCTTTTCCTGCCTCACTCTCTTTCTATAGGAATTCCAGGCTAGGGACATACTATTTAGCTGGTTTTTCATTTGGCGAGCAAACATACTGCTTATTTACACAACTCTTGACCACACTGACAGAGAGGATAGCCTTTGAAACTGCATTTGGAAGGAGGACATCACTTGGGAGTTTGAAAAGTCACTTATTAAAAATAAAAAAATAATAGAGATGTGGAAGAATGTGTTGATATATAGTAAGGTCAGATTCTAGAAAAGTGATGAATGGCTTTATGAAGTGGGTTAAGTCATAGGGTTTAATCTATAATAAACAGTCCTAGTACAAACATCAAAGGATTCTTACAGATTAATTAGCAGGTACTATTATTATCCATAACCATTTTTGTCTCTATTCCCAATAAGATGCAAAATAATCACTTCATGCGGTCTAAATGCTTCATCTGACTATTGCAGTAAGAGGATATTTGGACCACAGCCACCAAAGCAAAAGAAGCTGACGTAGCCTGTGTACTTCACTGTTAAGTGACAGAAATAGTAAGATTTTTGGTCAAAAGCATGTTTTTGCCTCATCTTGTTTTTATGATGATTAGTTTTGGCTTAGTCACCTGAGACATGGCAGAAAGGAATGTAAAGGGGAATTTTCTGTGACTTTACAACACTGTCTGTAAGGTTAAAGCAGCTCAAGATAGTTCTCTGACCAGCACAAGCTGAAAACCACTATGTTGTTTCCTTCTCTCTTCTCATGTACCAGCTTCTAAGACTTAATTACAGTCTGAGAATTCTCCAGAAGAACATGTTGTTCATCTCCCTAGTAGGACTTTCAGGGATCAATATTTCCTGTATTTCCATGAAGTGTCAAAACCCTCATCCAACATAACATCTGATCCTGATTTCCTCCCATGTTTTTGCTTTTGAAATCCCATTTCTTTTCAATGGAAGAGCAAATCTGCATGTATGACAGACAGATGACTGGCATCCTGAAATGACTTCCCAGTGATAAGAGAAATCCTCACAGTTAACAATATCTTGATTTGGTAGAATGTCCATATCAGGAAAGATGACTTCTCAAGTACATAATGATATACCCACAGTTTCTTCCCACACAGTGTCTGATAGCTCTGGATAAGGAACTAAGAAATGATAGCTCATGCATGCTTTTGGTAGGTTTTTGTAATAAGTTTCTCATCTCAGATCAGTTCCTACCCAGTCAGAGGATCATTTTGCAAAACACACACCACCTCATCTCTGATTAATTAGCAGAAGTGAATGCACCATGGAGAATGACTGATCATTTTCACCAGAAAGGTATTGCAGGTCAGTGTTGATACACACAAATAAGCACAGTATAAACTAATGATCAGCAATCCATCAACTAATTTTTAAATAGACTGCAGATTTTAATATTGATAAAGTTGAAAACGAGAAAAAGGGAATGTAATTCTTCAGCACAGAAGACAGCAGCATGACTTTTAATGTTTACTTTTCCAAAAGAGCATGAGAGCATGGAAAATGAAAGCAACTAGTGGCCAAAGAAACTTCAGAATCCTCTTTATGCCTTCCCCTTATTTAGTAGCAGTAACTAGGAGTAATGCCTTTGCTTCAAGCTGACTTGCTGAAGGCTAATACATTCTCAACATCAGACCCACCTCTTGAACTTAGCCCATATGGACCACTGCAGAGATTATGTTTTGTAAAACTGGCTACACAAAACTGTTTGACTTGTAATTCTGGTAAACATGATTAAGCATGGTACATTTCTCTAAGTATTCAAGGTAGTGAAAAATGGTGTAAGATGGTGAATGCTCACTGAAGTACACAGGAGTCTTTCCCTTTGATTTCAGTGGCTTTGGCTCAGAACCCATGAACAGCATGAAAAGTAAACTCCCTGAGAAGCAATTATCTAGAATGCCTTTGTTCTTATAGACCAAGACAGAATTTGATAGAGCATAAAGGCAAGATTTATGTCTCCCAGCTTTTCTTTTAACAGACAGTCCCTATGAATTCCAGACGTTCTTAGAGTGTTATAGAGTTCTACAGCACAAAGTTACATAATTATGATCTGTGATTTCTTTCAGATACTTATAAAATTGAAAACTCTTTCTAAATAGTAAAAAAGAGTCCCACACACATATAGTACAATAAAGTCAACTGATTACAGGTTCAGTATGGCACCCAAGCTGTTCCTTTCAAAGCATCTTTGTTAGATGAAAGAGTTTATGGTTCTGTTCCCCTCTCAATCAGACATGGATTTCATTCATGTTTTTATGCTAAATACCACTCATATTGTGTACATTCTTTGTATTATTACATTAGCTATAAAACCTGCACCTTTGCTTATGAATTAACTTTGAGGATAATGAAGAAGTTACAGAGGGCAGGGATTGGCTCTCCATCTCTTAAGTTTCATAATACACACTGGATGCCTTTTCACTGCACTTAATCAATCAGAAATTACCAGACTTGGCATAGTGTAACTGTGAAATCCTATAGGCTGTATTGTGTCAGTTGGGAGCGGAATTTGGAGATATCCATATTTTTAAACTGTGCTTCTGAAATAACTGTAAAGTGATCATTACCATTTTGATACCTTCCTAATTCAGAGTCACACTGGTAGGGGAATAACCATTTTACTGCTACTTGCCAAGAGAGTCCCAACCAGTCAGAGAGGTGCTCTGTGCACTGAAATCATCAGGCTAAAGGAAGATGGTGAACACAACACTGGGAGTGGGAGCAAATGAGTATGTGAGATAATCAGGTATGTTAAGAGCTCTCATTGGTTCTTAAAAAAACCCAGTATTGAGATCCACTATAAGTTGTTGTTTACTCTTGTCTTGCCTGTGACAACCCAACCGTTAATTGCAGTTACAAGTATGCATCACTATGTAGATAGTGAACCCGAGACCCTTGCATGTAATCCAAACGGACAAGACAGAATATGAAGTAGCAGTCCAAAGAAGTGATCCTGAGGTTATACGGCAACACAGTGAAATATGTAAGACTATCACCATGTAAAATTTTCAAGGTCTCCCAAGTTAAGCACCTAAAAAGCAATCCAAGAATTACTTTTGAAAATCTTGGCCATAAAGCTGCAGCCTACTCCGTGAGATACTTCCAGCCAAGAGAGGACAAACTCTACAGAGCTCTTCAGGGAGAGAAGTCTCCAAGACTCGACAGGTCTCTGCATTCTGTACTGTAAATTGCAGTTAAACACACCATTTCGTGACCTCTAAGAAGGGGGTGGGGTGGAAACAGAAAATAAAAGAGAAAGCAGCCCTTGCAGTTGCACAATTGTGGAAAACCAAATATTCTATTTTTAGGCATGAAAAATCAGTCCTCAGATTGGTGAGTATCAGGGAGGCATCTCCAGCAAATACAGCCTTTGCCCATGTCCACCATCATGATATAATATTTTCCAGACTTCTAACTTCTTTGACATTTGTTTTGAAACACTGTTTTCCTTGTTCCTTGTTTCATACCGTCTCAGATACAGCTGCCTTTCTGTGAATGAAATTACTGAGAAAATGAAAGTAAGACTGAGAAAATCCCAGTTCCTGTGTGATGTTACCAAATACAGAACATGAGTCAAACTAATCAGTTGCAACAATTTAGTGTCAATTTTCTATCTTTTAAAATCCATTCTGTAAAGTGACAGGAAATATTAATCAAAACACCACCATTTTTAAACCTCTTTCAAAAAGGATACCAAAGAGTGCAAAAAATAAGCTGTAATAAAAGGACATAAAGTGCACTAGTGTTTAAACAGATGAAGCACACAGGTAATAAGGCAGTTCAATCTAATGTTGTGGGGCAGGCAGCTGAAAGAATATTTTATATAAGGTGGTGAAGCACCCAAACAAAGCTCTCTCAGAAGTTACCAATTAAAAAAATCAAGTTAATCCTTTTCAAAATAGATTAACACAGAATATGAAGGCAGATTCTTCTGGGGTAAAAGGCACCCAGTTGATAGTTACAGAATAGGGAAGTTAACTTCTTAGGCCTTTCAGTTCATAGGTAAACACTATAAACAGCAGTTCCAGAACTGTCCTCATAATCTACTAGCTTACTTAAGTGTGCAGGATTACTCCCTTAAGTGTGCAGTGTCAGGGACCTCTCTGACCAATGATAAATACAAACATTGTTAAGCTCTTAGCTGCGAGTGACAGATGCCCCCATCTGCTTCTAAACTTCTAAAAACTATTTTAAATATCAAACACAATTATGAGGAAAACAGAAAATATTCTTCAAAGAACACTTTTTTTTTTTAAAGTTAATGTGTCTGCCCTGATTAATCACAAGCTGAAAGGAGTACTTGATGACTAGTGTATACTTCAGTTAACACTATTTCATAAAACCTGGCTTGACAGAAGTATAAGATAAATTAATCAAATAATACAAAAGTTGAAAGATGTGCCAGCTGGCTCATGCTCATGAAGAAATACACCGCCTCTGAACAGTAGGAAAGACTGCAGTAAAGCAACTGACCAAGTGGGCAGCACAGTACAGAGTCAAGCCATTTTCATGTGTTACTGACTTGCTTTAGAGCACAGTTCTTGACAAAGAGACTACATGCATTTCAAATAAACATATGCTATTTTGGATGCCACTGAGGGATGCTACATTGTGGAGCATAAAGCTCTAAAGATTCGTTCTTACAGTTTAAGGTCAAGGACTCTCATAATGAATATTACGATATTGAATGTCTAAGACTCACAGCCGCTGTGCTGCCTGTTCGGGTTGCATCTTAGAGCTTTATATGAAGGCACAATTTGTAATGCCAAGATAAAAGCTATTCACAGATAAGAAACTGTTTCCCTGAAGAAAAGATCACAATGAATATGATTTGTTTTCCTCAGAAATACTGTGTATACTTGTTCTTTATAGTATCACAGTAAAGATCACTTCCTTATGACATTTGAAAATGAGCCAAACACTATAGAAGAGATGTTTTTGTTTAGCACCAAGTTCTTAAGCTCACGTGTCTCTAAACAAAAAGCAATGCCTGTGACATAATGAACCAAGTGAAAAAGAGTTTACAAAGTGCTAAAGCTAAAGAATGATTTAAAGAATATTCAATTATTGACAAACGGTGCTAAGCGAAACCTGGCTTGGGATGGAAGTATCCTATTCAGTACCCACAGGGCTCAGATGACTTTCAGTGGCAAGAGTGAATTGAAATCAATAACACCTCTGACATAAGAATGATCAGAAATATATACAGCTCTTTAACCATGTGAAGTGCAGAATACTATCCTATATTTTAGATAAACCACAAATTTACAGTCTTTTCCATACCAAAACCTGACATCAACAAATTAAAAAAAAAGGAAAGATTTTCACTACACAGAAAGCTTCTACATGAGGCTCCAAGGCTGGTAATACAAAAGTAGACCCTTTAACATTTGTCTGTGGGCTTAAGAGCAAGAACCTAAACACTAAACAAAACACATCAACTAATCCACCAGTAAATTGCCATTGTTCCAGTCTTTCTAGACACGTCACTTCCACATTTGTAATGTACAGACTATTTCCACATGATTTCAGCTTTAGGCTCCTAATGTTATACATATAGAAAAGTATAGCACCAAATTTAGTTCTGTCCTTAGACTGAATGTTGATAAGTATATAATGTGGAGGTAATGACTAAGAACTTTTTTCTCATTTTCCTTAGCTAAAATGTGATCTAAATAATCTGTTTCTCCATACTTCAAGAATTAAAAGCATGAGCCCAGCCTATTAACAGAAGTCTCCCAACTGCCTTTTCCTTGTTCTAATGTTTGCCTTGCATAACAAGCCTCCTGTGAAAAACCTCTCTCTAGCTTAACTGACAGAGTTGTCTGTACACAACCTTTGAACAGTTAATTCCACTCAGCTCCTCTAATTGTACAGGTGTACTTAGGAGACATTATTGACCCAAGGTCTTACAGTAACCAGCTGCAAAACTGTTGTTTCCAGAATGTAGTTATTACATTTGCATAAACACAATGAAAACCCTCAGGCTAATGAATGGCCAGGAGATACTATTCCACGCTGAAAGTGATGCTGGTATCTGAATGCTTGCTGTAGGAGCGCTTATCAGTGCGGCCAACAAAAACTGGGGCTTTGATATGATGGGCCCTTAATCACTCAATTATTGCATATACCTATCAACAGTCCCTTACTTACCAGAACTGGCATGATACAGAAGTACAAAAACAGATTCTTCATTGCAGTAAAAAGAAACTAAACCCTGTATACTGAACAGTATAGGCTTGTCCCTTTTTACTGGCATTATCCTTTGTTGCATCAACAGTTTAATGAGCACTGTGAGCTTTTTTTTTTTAAACATCTACATCTAGGCTAATATAACATTTTGGTTCTTCTGTTGAAGAACACAATTTGTATAACGTCTTTAAAACATAAAAGCCTTAGCTTATGCAGCTGAATGACTCTTCAGCTTGGTCATTAGAGAAACGTCTGTCTGTGACATTGGAGTTACTTTCACCATTACAAGGAAGTCAGTAGTTTGCATCATGTCTCACCACCACCAAAATTCTTTGCTCCATAACAGAGTAAATAAAGTTATCTTCACATTATATTTCCATTCTATTAAAAGGTTTATTACTTTGAAAAGCAGATTATGTTTGTATAAAAAAAAAGACTCAGACATCTCATTGTGGCCTACAACTGAATCACTACTGTCAAAATACTCAGTCACAGTGTCTCCTGCCTCAGCAACTATGTTCCCTCTCTGCATCTTACTAGGAACTGCATGTTCTATCAGTTTCCAAAGACTAAAATTCACAGATCCTGGTCCTACCATATCAGTTACATCTATCATACCTTTGGTTTGATGTTCCCATATCTCAGCTGGCACCTCAGACATTTGGAGCTGCAGACATGCCACGGTTGCACCTTCCAGCTCCTTGGTGCTTTCTCTCTTGAACTATCCATAAATTAAATAACAGGCATATAAGAATGAGTTAGACACATGCAATTATCCTATTTAGTAATTGAACAACATATGTCTCACACTACATCAAGCAAGACAATTAAAGCAATGGAGGGCTGTTGAGCACACTACACTTAAAGTTCAGGAAACTAGTATGTTTCCATACACTGCTAATCCTACTGAGTTATTGTTTTCACTATTGCACTGATACAAAGCTCAGTGCATCTCCATACTACAGACCAAATATATACAATAGAATTGGAGTACAGCATGGGTCACTTGTTTGCTGTTCTTGATTAAAAAGTAGCACATTTAGATATCGTCTATCAAATCTACTTGCTTTCTTATTACAGTGTTCAGTTTCATACTGGATATTCCTTGTCAACTGCCAAGGTTGAAGTTTTCTATGCTCTACCTTGCATCAAGTTATTTTGAAAGTTTAAACCAGAATGGTTGCACTTTCTACTTACTTTTTTTTTTGAAAGATAAGTGTTTTTCCTCACATGAAGAAAAACTTACACCTACTTTGTTGAGAAACTCTATTACCTTCATGCTTTATTATCTGAAATTAAGCAGAAGGATGACTCCTGCATAATACCTGAGTATCTTCTGATGTACCTGTCAGAAAAAGATCTGAGAAAGAAGTGGGGTAGAGAGATAAGATGGGAGAGAACAGAATTAAGGAATATACAGAACACAAACCGAAGTTGAGGGTGTATAAGGTGATGTGAAAGATGTAGGACTAGAAAGAGGAACAATAGTGGCGATGGCAGAGGAAAGAATAACAGAGGGCAGGAATTCTTGAAGAGGAGGGTTTAGGGTTAGCAGAGACAGGAAATTTTTTGATACAATACTTTATGGTATAAACATTCACTTACAGCCCCCATTTCTTTTATAGCATTTGTCAAATTCTGCTCAACTACTTTGAGCTAGCTTTTTCTTTTTGTTTCTTTCATGGCTGAATGAAAAAAAAAAATCAAACTGGAGCCTAAAAGAGATCTGCTTTAGCACTTGAGCTCTATTTTGGCAGGTGAGGAAGCTCAACAATTTGGAAACAGTAAAAACAAACCCAACCCCCAAATACTTAGGACTTCGGATGCGCATCGCAGCATGCACTGCCACCTGGAGGCAGAAAGTTCCAAGTACAGCTAAAAGCAAAGGTCATGTTTCAAAAGGAAAATCTTTTACCCCTAAATTAATTTTATTTAAGATCGCTAGTATTTCTACTGAGTTTTCCCTGATAAAAATCTATTAGGGCAGTGAAAAGACAGTCTTTTTAAAAAGGACATGGACTCCCATTTTTAAAGGACATTTATTATATGTTGCAAAAAGTTGTGAAGGCCTTTGTATCTGTACAACGTTGCCCATTTCAGTGATTATAACATTCAGTGCACAAAACCCATCTGAAAGGTGTCCGTTTTCATGAGAGTTTAGAGATTAGGGTGACAGGCACTTATCTTTAAATAAGACAACCATTAGTTCAAGTGCAAACCTACAGAGTAGAATGAAGATATGCCCATAGCACGGACAGGCAAGTGGAAAATACTGTGGTTCAAGTTTCAGATGGGCTTAAAGTTCTTGTGGGTATGTTCCCCACTCAGCAGCCTATGCTTTTGTGCCTGCTACTAGATTAAAACCAGACCTGTGCTCTGGTCATACCTCTGCTTCACTCTGAAAAACGTATCTATGATCCTGACAGAGGATGATCTGACATAACAGACTGACTACCCTAATTCAGAACATTACACAAACACAAACTTAAATCCACTGTTACTTATGCAGAACCACCTTGCCACCAGATAACCTATGCAATAAGCGTATCAAATACTGCTATGCTATCGTGGATCTAGACCTAACAGTGTAATCTAGTTCACAATCAAGTAAAGAGAAATTTGCTCTGATCCTCAATGAGCATTTCTCAGGTTTGTGCGCTCCCAGTATAGACTTTTATGCTCAGATACTAGTTAAGTTCTTTCAGATGAGATGCTGTAATTCATCAGATATGAAAGACAGACAGGGCACTATTTATTATTTGTTAATGACTTGTACTCCATTACATTTTTATTCTCAGTAAGTTTTCCTGAGATGCTCTCTGTGTGACCCAAATCTTAGACAAGTTTGGGCTTTAAGCTAAAGTTTGTGGTTATACAAGCTAATACTTTGAACCTAGACTGTGCCTTTTAATCTACAGACTCAAATAGCTTCAGAAATAGTAATTTAGCTTCATGACATCCCAATGAGATATAAATTATTGTATTTGTATTATTTAAGAGAAAACTCCAGGCAATAACTATAATATAGTACTGGGCTTGACTGCAAGTCCTCTAAGGATGTTCACCAAGGACATTCTTGTCTTCATCATTCCTCTTCTACTTCTGTTTTTTATACTAAAAAAAAGAAAAAAAAAATTATTTGTGGGAAAGAGCACATAACTAAAGGTAACAAACAGTTCATAGTGGCAAGGATTTACACCCCTCTTCATGATCTACATAAAGTTATCTCAGTTTCCTTTAAGTTAGATTGAAATTTGATAGGCTTTCCCTTTACAGTATAAGATAATGCTTCTTGGCAGGCACTGTGAATCTGGATCCTCCTCTCACACAGTTCAATTACCAGTTTTCCAATGAAGGAGACTACAATCTCTGTAGCAGAATCAGAATATGGCTTTTCATAATTGTAGGGAGAATAAAATCTGATTCAGGCACAGACAGTTATTTACTAGGCTGTAACTGCTGGGATTTGGCTACTTCTATAATTTTATAATCTATGACTAATCTGGGCTTGCTCCTGTAACAGTTCTCATTTGGATCTCATGGGCTGGCAGAGAGGACTTAACAGTCATTTAGTAAATTAAATCACAGATATTTAGAGCAAGCTGAACTTTTGACTTGTTTCATGATACTCTAAGAAATCCATGTTAACATATCATGCTCCCCAACCAGATGTAAATCCAAGGAAGTCCAGGTGACTCTCAGCTGTCTAACAGTAAACAATCGTCATTCTTAAATAAGAAACCAGTTTGAGTGGTATCTTTCAGTGCTGTGGTAGTAAAGAGGCATATCTGTCTGGGTGATAACTACAGCACAAGTAAACCATTATCACAATTTTGCCACTGTGTTGTCTAACCCTGATTTGCACAGCCATAGGCAAGATCTGAGGGGGAAAAAAACCAATGTTGTTCTGGGCGTTAACATAAACCTACTAAGAGAGGATAGATTCCTGTTGGGAAAGCAGATAATGTGTATCAACAAACCATGGCTTGCAAAATACTGTATTTTTTTTCTCTATAATAGAGTTATACTAGCCACCGCTGCTGAAATTTAATATAATTCTTCATGGAAAAAAAGATTTATACAGAGACCAACTTAAAGCATCATTGGTTCTAAAAAATATACTTAAGTCTGTATCGACAAAGAAGAATTTTTTTAACAAGAACCATCACAATCATAAATCCCTAGTGGCTAGGTATTTCCTTTCACCCAGACACTTCAACATCCAGGACAATGGAACAGTTTGCTATTCCTAACTTGCTTTCTGATGTTTTCTTCTTTGATCTGAAGTGAGAGAGAGCAAAACTTAAGACAAATCTGATGCACTTACTTTATTCATGACCCAGTCAGCATCTTCAATGGCTCTCTTAATAATCTGTTGGATTCGCTCAGGATTGTCTTCATCAGCATGAACTTTGAAACTCTGCAACATTCAATCAGTGTTACACTGACTAGCCAACTTAACACAACAGTTGTCAAAATAAGGATCACTTAAATCTCAAAGAAAATATTTGATGCAAACAAACTGTTGATCTGAAAAGGTAAAAATATACATTGTAGCACCTGGTTGTGCTATTTCCATAACAAGTCTTGCCAAATGTAATTTCATATTAAGTATTTTACTCCTTTCATACATCATCAGCAAAAAACCCCAGAGAACTTTAATTCAGAACTGTCTGCCACGTTAAAACTAGAAAGACACAGGACAACAGGTATGATCAAAGGCATGAAATTACTTCCATATGAACAATTAGATGAGATTTACCCAGCCGGGGGGTTGGGGTGAATATATATATATTAAAAAAATGACCAACAAGGAACCAGTAAGTTTCACCATAAAAGATGTGTTTAGGTGAGTAAGGAATGATTGTTCACTCTCTTGACTAACACAAGAATTAGAGAGGAAAGCCAAGGAAAATAGAAGGTTTCAGATTCAAAGCAAACAAGAAGAAATGCTCCTTCACATACGCCCAGTATAATCCTTCAAATCCACTAACGTTTCAAGTTTGCAGAATAATAATTTTTAAGTGCCAGGAGTTATAAAAAGTTGGTCCAAACTGTAGGAGAAGAAAAACAAAAACAAAAAACCACACACAACACTGAATTCCACCAACAAAAAAGTCTGTTTCTCACCTGCCTGACTGCATGTCTGTAATGCTGACGAATATTCTCTTCAGGAAGTTGCTTACAGCATCGAAGCAGGTAACGATATAACTGCAAAGAGTTCTGAACTAATTCAGCATTCGGTAGCGGGGCCATTATCAAGCTTTTTAGCTGTTGAAAATAAAAAACACAAATCAAAATACCTAATGAATTTTATTAAAAACAGAAATAAGTGTAATTTTACAACAATGAAAACAGGGCCAGCAAATTAAGGTTTAACAGCATAACTTGAAGAAGCTTTAGAAGAAAACACAGTATGAAATGAATTGGAACTTAGTTTATGGACAGATGGGGGTTATTTGTCATTGATCAAGGTATTAAAATACAAAAGCGTGCAGATCATGCAAGAAGATCACTTTACGGTGGTAATATTAAGGTGTATTGCAATATTAAATTTTTTCTAGTTTAAAAAAAGACCCACAATGTAAGCTGCTGTCAGTATACAAAGCAGTATCGCAGCCCCGAGGGAGTTTTCTACTTGATAAGCCACGATTCTTAGATTCATTCAAGCGTCCAGTGCTTTCCTTGAGCATCCATAAGAGTCCATCTGCATGGTGACACTGAAGAATGAGGATGCTCATAATTGCTACAAATGGTGTTGCAATTTAACAATATTTCCTAGTATTGTCATTCTCTCAATATCCTGTGAGCTGGGCTATGAATGTCAGGCTTTAACTTGAAATAACATGTACAAATGTAGGAGAAGAAAGGCAAAAATATTGATAGGTTTGAAATTTTCCATTTTTTTTGGTAACGGCAACAGGAAAAGAACAAATCTAACAAGTTTCACCTCCATAACTATCCTTACATACTGTAACAATAAGTCCATCCAAGCTATATAAAGTGCTAATCAAATACTGTAAATTACTTGTCATTTAACAGATGGTTACCATCTGCAGAGAACTAAATTAACATTTGGAAAAAAGCACTTTTACATCATTACTCTTAAGAATAAAGATAATAAATAAGTAACTGAATAATGAAGTAGGTGTACAGCATTATTTTAGCACCCGTTATGATACTTACTCATAATTTGAAATATTTTTTTCCTTTTTCTTAAATTACTTAAGTCCTTTGGCCAAATTTATTTCAGAATAGAACACCACAGCTATCGCATGCCTGGGCTGTATATTTGCATAGACTAGCTCTTCTTGCAGCGGGGAAAATCTCCTCACTATGTACCGATAAAAAAGCCCATCATAATAGGATATGTACTATTGTAATTTGTATTTTCAGTAAAACAAAATTCCATCTTAGCCTATAACTAAGTAGATATAAATTAGCATACCTCTATAGCAGTAACAAGAGCTATGCTGATTTACAGTAGCAGAGGTCTCTTAAAATCTTTAATATTTTAGGCACAAAAAGTACGATTCTTCTATGTGAAGAAAATTAAAGAATTCTATGACAAAAACACAGAACGTGTCTTATTCTTGAGGGATGGGCCTCTACAACATTGCTCTACTTATGGCACAAAACCACAGTACAAAGTCATATCTGAGCACCTCACGGTGTTGTTTTTTTTTTTTTCTGTTCATTACTGAAAGATTGGGTGAAATCTATGCTATATTGATTTTTTGAATCTAACTATCTTTTGTCAAAAGTAGCATCTTGTAAAATGAGAGGGAGCTGTTCCTGCGGCAGAGCTTCTTGTCTACAGGAAATGTGTGAGAAAGAGCCTTGCAATATTAGCATTATTATCCATATTGGAATTGTGCCCATACTCTTCAGTCAAGGATTCAGGCTCTATCATGGTAGGTACTATATATACACATACATACATATCTAATGAAAAAGTTTCTGCCACAGAGAATTTACAAGGCAGACTAATGACAAGTCATAAGATGAGGCAGAACGAGGCAGATGAGCCAAACAGGTGGGATGGGAATGGGGAGGAGGTGACAGTAATATGAGCCTGTTTTTGTGTAGACTAATAGAGCACACACTATAGCTCACCACCTGCTTAGCTGATACCAACAGGCAAGTTTTATAACACTATTTTTTTTAAGGACCTGCAGAAACATAGTGAGTCACGACTGATGGGTGTTATGGAAGCCCCTAAGAAAGGCTCTGATGACACTTGAGAAAAAGCTTTTCTAGCCTCC